TCACACCTACCTACCTGGGTACACTAACTATGATTATTATGGGATTTCGTTTAAAATTTCGCAAATGCAAATGTAATATTTTTTTAAATTTATATTTTTTGTTTGACGTTTTAAATTAATATTTTTTGACTTTTATATAAATTCTTGTATATATTGTTTTGTTCCCCCATAGTTGGATTTCCCATCATGCTGAAGTGCGCGTCAAGGATGTTAACTTGGATTTGTCCATGAGCACCGTTATTGGTTTGGGTGATTTGGCAGAGGATGAAATCATCACTAACCCTCTGCCTGTTGCGGTAAATAGAGGCTTAAAGCAATAAAGCAATTTACATTTTTTAATTGTTATGTCTTATTATTATATTCTATAGATCCATGTGGAGAATGTTAAGCTTAACTTAATCGAAGATCGTCCGCCCGTTAATATTACCTCACCGGGTCCAGTGCCAATACGTCTGGCAATCGGACGCATGCGCATACATCGTGATAAAAATGGCATTGTCAATATACAACCAATAGGTGTGTATTAAATTAGTATTTTTATAACCTAAAAAAGTTCACACAATTGCCATGAAGTTTATTACATACTGAAGGAAACGTCGGATACATTATAAAAGAATTATCATTCATAAAACGACTAGCGTGTTGAGCCGAGTTGATTTTACCCGTCTGGCTATCGGCACACGCCATTCTCTCTACAAGAAGCTGTTCATTTGTCAGTCACCGTCGATATCAGATGTAGCGTTATACTAACTGATAACTGTATGGCATTTTTTATTATCTGATAACATATTTTTGGCACGTATTATTGTTGTTGTAGCGGCAGAAAACATTTCTGAACGAATTTGAAGGAATGCTGCCGGCTTGACAGTCCTCAGTCGGATAAAAATCCGAATTCGTTCCGGTTACTTAGACTCGATTCTCGCGGAAACGGCATGTATTGCTATAGCGGACAACGCTATTATTTTTGAACAAATTGTTCAGATCGGACCACTTTAGAATATACCTGTTATACAGACTATTCGATTAAAATCAATTCTTTCTAAGAAATTGTGACGGGTGTTAAGTACAAATTCGCATCAAGTGCAGTCAAAGGATGACTACCGCCCATGGATCTAGTAACTAAACTTCATCTGGTATGGCAAATGACCAAAACTGTGTTTAAATTTTTTCTTGTTATAGTTAAACCATACTGTAAATCTTAGTGATTAATTTAATTATATAAGTCCATATTAAAAAAAGAAATGTGAAAAATGTATTTATAAAAACTATGTTAAAAACACTACTTTTATAATATTTATAAAGAAATTTTGCTTTATTTTCCATTTAGAAACTGGTCTAAACGAGGCGGCTACTATAAACTACCCACTAACAGCTGCCGCACTAACGCCACGCGATCGCGAACGAGATCGCGAAATACTCTCCATGCAGCTGGTCATGCAGCAGCTCAAAATGGATAATGAAAATTTGCGTAAGCAGTTAGTAAATGCGAAAGAAAATGCCGATACGTACAGGTAAGCCTCATAGAATAACTGTTGTAATGAGAGGCTCATGCATAATACTCTCTTTTGCTGCAGACAAAAGTGCAAACAGGAGAACGACGTGCTGCGCTCGTATCTGAAGGCGGCGCAAGACGATATAACCATATTATTAGAGGAGAAAAAGGCTTTACTCGACACGATACGTTCGCTGCAGGTGAGTTTCAACTAAGAAAATATGAAAATAAATATATATATTGGTATATATACTATATATAACCACACCTTCACGGTTCACTTTAATGTGTTTAAGATTTCTACACAACCCTTTACCTACGCGCACAAAACACAGATAATAAATATGATATTATACATATATTAAAGACACCTGCTCGAATTTGTATGGTGCGAAGCCACAGTAAAAAACATTTAAGCCTTTTTGTTCGCTTTTGTTGTTATAATTTGAAGCTCTGAAGCTATTTCAGATGTTTGGCCAAACTGTGTACAATTTCGGTTCAATTTCATTTATAATTTCAACATTTTATGTATGTTTACTTTTCTAAGCTAATAATTTTCCTTTTACTTATTACTACTACTACTATTTATCTACTCTTCACCACCACCTAATGTGACTGTTTTCTATTTGATGTGTGTTTTTGAAAACCAAAAAAAAAAAAATCCTGAAAATTTGGCGTTGAAAACTAAAACAACAGTTAAATCTGAATTCTCGCAACATTTCCGATGCAAGGATCAAAGGTCAGTTTTTGCAGCAAACANAAAATTTGGCGTTGAAAACTAAAACAACAGTTAAATCTGAATTCTCGCAACATTTCCGATGCAAGGATCAAAGGTCAGTTTTTGCAGCAAACAAAAAAAAAAAAAAAAAAACAAAAGCGCAAAGTAGAAAAAATGCACTTAACGTTTGCTTTTGATTTGTAGTTTGTAGGTTAAAACAATCGATGCTGAATTTTAACGCATTTAATTTCTCTATATACATAGCTTTAAGCATATAGCACCTGCTTGAATTTAAATTAAAGAAATAGTAACTAGCATGATATAAAGTACATACTATAGTTTCAAATGCACAAAAAATAATTGGCAAACGAAAAATTGAAATATTGGATTTTTAAGTGCATAAAGTGCTAATGAAAGACTAGTAAAATCACTGCCGCTTACACAACTGTCAGCTCACAGATTTAACTGAATTCTATTTTATTTATCGATTTTGAATACAATGCCAGTCCGAGTTTTGATTATGCTATGCTATATGGATTTTGAATTTTTTGTATTACTGTCACAGAAAATATTCAATGATTGAAACAGGTTATCATTTTTTTAACTTGTAAATCCTTTATAGAAGGACGTACGAGTATATACTATATCTAAAAAATTTTTTTTAGAATTTTCTTTCTACATTAAATTTTTCAATATTTGCTAAATAGTGGCGACAAAATTAAAAATATCGAAAATATTACTTATAAATATGAGCAGATCCTTTGAATTTTTTAGTGTTTATTTTTATTTTTGTTTAATTTGGAGATGTTATTCAAGTGACGCGGAGGGTATATATTATATGTACATAAGTGCTTATGTAATTTCGTAATTAAAAGTATGTAAGATTTAGACTGTTAGTAACCATGTCAGATGATATTATTTTATAACAAACAAGGAAGAGCTAAGTTCGGGTGTCACCGAACCTTTTATATTCTCGCATGATAAGGTGATAATCGAGATTTCAGGTGTGGTTGTGAACCGATTTCACATTTGGTACATGTCATCAGGGTGTTAAGAAAATATTATGTACCGAATTTCATTAACATCGGTCAAGTACTTCCTGAGATATGGTTTTTATGGTCGACGCCACGCCCATTTTCAATTTTTAAAAAAAGCCTGGATGCAGCTTCGATTTCTTATATGGAATAGTAGCTTTCGAGATATGTACAAAAAAATTAGTAGGGGGCGGGGCCACGCCCACTTTTCCAAAAAAATTACGTTCAAATATGCCCCTCCCTAATGCGATCCTTTGTGCCAAATTTCATTTTAATATCTTCATTTATGGCTTAGTTATGACACTTTATAAGTTTTCGGTTTCCGCCATTTTGTGGGCGTGGCAGTGKGCCGATTTTGCCCATCTTCGAACTTAACCTTCTTATRGAGCCAAKAAATACGTRTACCAAGTTTCATCATGATATCTCAATTTTTACTCAAGTTACAGCTTGCACGGACGGACGGACAGACGGACGGACGGACAGACAGACATCCGGATTTCAACTCTACTCGTCACCCTGATCACTTTGGTATATATGTATAACCCTATATCTGACTCTTTTAGTTTTAGGACTTACAAACAACCGTTATGTGAACAAAACTATAATACTCTCTTTAGAAACTTTGTTGCGAGAGTATAAAAACGCTGCTATTGAGGGCTTACAACATTTGAAAAAATTTTATTTTTTAATTTAGAGATGTTATTCAATTGACACATAGTGTACATATATATGTAAATATGCACATAATAGCTTATGTAATATGGTGATAAGAAATATGAAAAATATAGCCTGCTAGTAACTGTATATATGCATACCTACGTCGGGATTAAGTATTGATGTTTTTTACCGTTTCAAAATAGCAAATAACAAATTTGTGTATATTTATATGCTCGAAAGAGATTATTACGTTTGCTCCGAAGTGTGTAACACCCAGAGGATAACGTTGGAGATCCTTAAAGTATGTATATAAAGCTTATGAACGTGACGAGGTCAGTCCTTTTAGCTGTTTCCGTCTGTTTCACGTCTGCATATACGCGAACTAGCGCATCATTTTTGAGATATTAAACTGAAATTTTGCTTGTATAGAAATTTTTTTCATTTGAAGAGATATCTTCACGAAATTTTACATGTATCATTAACCAAGGAAATCATACAATCTCCGAAGAATTTGTAGAGATCGAACCACTATATCATATAGCTGTAATATAAACTGAACGATCGGAATCAGGGGCTTGCATGGACAATTTTTTCAATTGAAAATTTATCTTCACTAAATTTTGCATGGGTAATTGTCTTAGGAAACACTGTAATCTCCGAAGAAATTGTTCAGATCGGATCACAACATTATATAACTCCATACAAGCTGAACGATCACAATCAACTTCTTAAAATTAAAATTTATTTATTTGACGACATATTTTTACGAAAGTCGGCATGATCTATTGTCTAGCAATTGGTTCAGAGCGGACCACCATAACATATACATATGTGTGTATGTAGCTCCCATACAAATTAATCGATCAAATTCATGAAAATATATTTTTATAGCCTTTTCGCTTCGGTGAAGCTAATGTTAACATTTTTTTCTTGTTTCCTAAAACTTTGGCTAGATATATTAGTGCAAAACCATTTTTTTTAAATTGTATTGAATTTGAAACAAACGGTTTTATAAACACCAAGGTCACAATAGAGTATAGGACGCGTTGCAATCCTCATTTACTTATCTAAACACCAAAGTAAATTAAAAAAATAACGACGTTTGAAAAAATTATTTTTTTTTACATTTAATTCGGTGTGTAAAATAAATACAAGGAGATAAAAGCTAAAAAATTCAAATATTTAATATTCGCGCATTTGAATTGTTTGTATTTTGACTGCGAAATTTTGCAAACTTTTTTCAAAGTTATCACACGGACTTATTTGTGTACTTGAAAAACCAAAAAATATAATTTACACTAACATCATAGCTAAAACTTTAAATTTTTCCAAACAATTTTTGAAGCATACTGTATTTGTTAGTCTCTCTCAACCGAAAAATATTTAAATTCCTTTATTGTTGCTTTTCACGCACTTACTGGCATTCAATTATACTATCGCTTAGTTTACCTATTACTCTCTTCCGCTTTTAAACACTCTTGTGAATTTCCGTTTATTATTTTTTGATTTTTTTTTATCGAAATATTTTTCAACTCGCCATTTTTTGTACTTTCAAATATACAATTATAACTATACAAAATAATAATAACTATACTCAAGTAAGATAAGCGCCATACGCTTACAATAATGTAAAATATTTCGTTTGCTTCTGTTATCCTGCTTCACTCCTCACATCCTCTATTACAACTGGCCAACAGGTTCAACTGACATCATCGAATATAAATAGAAAGAGCGATGGCAGCAGGTAGCATAACTGCATGGATTGCATCCAATGCTGCGGCGAGAACAACAATCCATGAAATACGATGCAACCGACGACGACAACACGACGTAGAATAACAACAACAACAACAACACCAGCAGCAACACACACGCGGCGTAAGCTTACTAATATATTTTTTGTTTTGCCACTTTTCAAATCATGCCAAAAATCGCGCCAAGCTCCGCACGAGCAGTAAAATCAAATGTGTTACGAAAAAAAAAAGAAATTGTGCGCAGCAACAAACAAAAACAAAAAAGTGTATAATTAATAACATTTGCATATTCGACTTAACATTTACATATATAATATGACATTTCTGTTTCTTTTTTAATTTCTACTATTTCACATTTGTATAAAATCAAATTTGTATAAATTTTTTTATAACTTTTTTTTTGGAATCTTCTTAAAATTTATTAGTTTTCTACAAAGACTGAATATCGCGTTGCGTTGTTTTCCATGTTATCTTTGTTAAATAAAAGTAAATATATTTTCATTAAATTAATTTTAAAATGCTCAATAATTGTGTTTGCAAAACGAATATTGAAATATGTGAAGCAATATTTTGGTTCGTTTATAAATTAAAATTTGGAATTAATTACTTATACTAATTGGTAGATGCTTTGAGAAAAAAACAGTAGGATTATATTTTCAGCGGGCATACATACATACGTATTGTTATTCAAAAAATGTTGGTTATTTTTATTTCTAAACTAATTCCAAAAATTAACTTTTTTGAATTTTATTTTTATAAAATTTGTACTATTCCTAACCTAGTTCCAGAAATTATTGTCAACTAAAATGTATTTTTTTTATTTTTCGCATATTTTTCCTTATACTTAACTTTTATGGAATTTTTTTCTTATAAAATTCTTTTGGATAGTATAATTCTTAAAGTGATTGAAAATAAATTACTAACTAAGCAAAATATTTTTTCACCTTTTCACATTTTTTTATAAATTAATTTCTTTTGAATTTTTTTTTACAATTTGTTCGATATTATTAATCCTATCCTATTTTCTTAAATTAAAAAATTAGTAAATAAGTGAAATATAAACACATATTTTTCTTTTCTCGCATATTCTTTTAAAAATTAACTTCTTTTGATTTTTTTTAACTTTTGTTGATTTCCAAAAATATTAACGAAATAAAAAAGTTATTAAAAATATTAATGAAGTATAATATTTTTTATCCCTGTTCGCATATTTTTTTCTAAAAACTAGCATCCTTGAAATTTTTTATGAAATTTGTTGAAAATTACTATTCTTAAACTGATTCCAAAACATGAACTTTTTTAAATAAATTTTTTTTGGATATTTCCTAACCTTATTACAAAAATTATAAACGAAAAAAAATCCTTTCGTATATTTTGCAACTTTTTTAATTCTTTTTTTAATTAGGTCCAGAAAAGTATATTTTTCACTGTTTGCAATTCTTTTATTTAACTTATTTTTAAAGGTTTTTTCCTATTCCCAACCTAAGTCCAAAAATGAATTATTGAGGAAGTAAAATATTTTTTTATTTTATTTTATAAAATTTAGCGAGCGATTGATATTTTTAATTATTTTTTCGAAATATCTGCAGTTAGAAACAGATAAATCAAACAGAATGTCGCCAACATGAAATTCATAACCTAAAAACACAAAAAAAATTAAAATGCTTTCACTTTTTGTATTTAAAAGTTACATTAAATAGCTGCAAAAAACAACATCTTAAATTAAAACTTGTATATGTGTTCTAGGAACACGTTCGTTGTTAAAACTATATCGGTCAAGAGTAAAGCCAGTTTTCTTACGCTCCAATTATTGTTTATTCCAATAAAAAATATGTATGTATATTACTTTTTATTAAAATAATTTATTTTTTAATTAAATTAACTTATGCGTTTAACGCTGTTTACGTGATTACACCATGGGTATATTAGAATTATAAAGAAGAATATTGATATAGATTTTTTTCATTATACATAAATGTATGTGCTTAATTTATAACTATAATTTACATAACTGCTTACCGTCATCTAAAATGCTAACAAAAACGTAACCACTTTTCATATGTTTGCAAGCAAAGAAAAAACGATATAGTAGAAACCATTCATATTAAAATAAAATTTGGAGTTTTGGTTATAAAATGGTTATATATTTATTATGTCTGATAGTCGAAGCTAATATATACATCCGCGTAATATACATATATACATATGCGTAATGAAGTGAATCGTAAGCAATAAAATTCTCAATTTTTTTCTTTTTTTTTGATACTTTGGTTTGCATTTTAGGTGACGCTAAATATTTCACTTTTTTTAGCGAAATTAATTTCAACAACTATACAGCTATGATTTTAGCAGCTTAACAAATCGTTGTGATTCACTATCATATCAATAATCGTAAACAAAAACTAAAAAAATGAGAAAAACTTGAAATAAAAAATAAATCATATGGTCTTTAGCTATCATAATTAAAACAAATACAAAGGCGTTACTTTCATAGAAAAATCAGTGTAGAAAAATCATATACTATATGTTGTTTATAGTATTTTGCTATTTGCGCTTTTTTTTTATTTTTTTTAATGCGCTTTTTAGCAACAATGGATATCTTGTATACTGAAGACTACCCAATCTTTGCTAGCGATCAAATAACTACTTTTAAAATGAAATTTAAGCCGTGCTTTTAATGAAATGTATGAAAATTTACAAATTTATAAAAAAAAATTATCAAATTACAACGGTAACTTCTTTTTATAAATTTGCAATATTTTTTTAATTTTAATTATAAAATGTATTTTAATATTTTAATTATATAATGAAATTTATATATATACTTTTACTATAATTAACAAATTTAATGTTCATTAGACTTATATTACTAAATGGCAATTTGTTAAAAGAGCATAAATCGACTTAACCCAATGGGTAATAGACGCTTAGCCTTAAAAAAATCAATTCAATACGCGATGTTGTGTTTTAATTTAAAAAATACACTGGAATCGCATGCTGCGAATTGCGTTGAAAACCAAAGCAAGCATAGTACGTAACCAGATTAAAATTGGAGTTTTTAGTCGCAAAATTTTGTAATTAAAAATTTCATTAGTTTAAGTCGACTTAAGCTCTTTTTAACATGTTTCCACAAATAAACTGAAATCCGTCATACATTAGCTTACTAATTTTACTAGGCATCAGCGAAAAATACTACGAGAGTTATAAAACGGTAATTTATAGAGATTTATAGAGATATTCCGCCCCAATCCACTTTCAAGTGTTTGAAGTTAACGTAAAGATGCTGTAAATATAAATTTTTTCTCTAAAATATTATTATTTTTCGATCATAAGGCTCGATTTAATGCAAATATTCTGAATATTGCGAGCAATTTATTCCTTAACCGTAGAGTTGTTATTTTATAAAATAATTATTGTAATTTATTGTCCGAACTGATTTCATATGGAATTGCTTGTATTGTTCACAATATTGTAAATGTATAATTTTTTAATGTTACCGAACAAATTTTCATGTTTTTAGTAATATTTGTTGCAAAGAGTGTATATAGTTTCATCAATCATCGAGTACACTAGTTTACTGTAATTTTGCGACTGCCTTTCTGTTTCTTGCTAATTTTGGGTATTGTAGTCGAGGGGTGTGGAGGTCAAACCACCACCATTAACTAATATAACAAAAATAGTGAATTCAAATTAATAATCATATCACACCTCAAAGACCCCACAGACCTCTTAACACATCAGTGCCAAATTCTTTCTACAGATTTGTTGACTAGTGTTACCTATAGAAACGTTTCAATTACAGTCAGTGGCATTCTTTGGTATGCTTTTTATTATCGTTTTAAAATTTTTTTCGTACGTTGTTCCTGATCTCAGCACGTGTTCGTAAGAAATCCACTTAATTTACAAAAAGTATGAAATTTTGGCCGAAAACTATATATTCCAACCCAATATAACTACAAATGCGTTCCATAAGGTCTACTAATATTTTACTTTAACTTTTAAACTTTTCTTAAAAAAAAGCGTGAAATAAAAAAATTAACACATAGTGAATATTCAGGTATATT